TAAATACTGCCAGAAGTGTCAGTCATACTCTGTATCTCAGCAGAACTATGATCTTAATTAAGACCAAAATGCTAATTGACCGTACAGTTGCCTGAAAAAAAAATGGATTCTGACATACATTCATAGGCATGCTGAGGCAGACTGAGGTGTTAGAGGTAACAGTGGTTACAATTGTCTATATCTGGCTCTGCAGGTTGTGCTGTGTTGATAAAGATCCAGCTCCATAATCCCGATTCATAGTGAATCTCTACCTATCAGATGCTTCCTGGGCTCTTCAGCAGCCTGTGATTGACGATGATTATCTCAAGCGGATACCATATCTCTGCCATCACCGTGGCCATGTCAGAGATTTTAGGTGGATGTTTGATCAAATACAGCACCAAACAGCTGACAGAGAAAACACACAGTAGCAGAAGCACACGTAGAAGGCGCCATTGAATTAAGATATACAGATAAGGATTTTTTTCTCCCTCTGTTCGAGTGTCAGAGACAAAATTGAGATTTGTGTTTAGCTGCGGCACAAATATTACCTGACAAGCAATCTTTATGGCAGAGTCAGGCACTCAGAGCTTTGTGTGGAGATATGGTTAAAACAAAAGCATGTTAAACATATTTACATTTAACGCATCTATAATCAATATTTTTAATATTGGATGACTACATGTAATGCGAAAGGGGTCACTTGCAGTGATGAACCAACATAGAACTATCAACCGACTCTGTGGAGCTTTAAGCACCTTTAACTTTCATGGCCTGCACCTTCACTGTTTTGGTTCACTCTTACAGCAAATAAAAGCTCTCACAAACTCACGTACGCCAACTGCTCTGCACAGCAGACAGACAAAATTCGCGTCTAGCTGGTGAACATAGTGTAGCATTTAGCAGCTAAAGAGCCAATTATTTCCCTCAGGAGTTGGTTGAGAGCAAAACTGAACTAAAAGGAGTGAATATTGGACTAAATTCGTCACAATGCTACAAACACAACTCCAAATGAACGTCCATGTCTGCTGGATGTGTAAAATAGCAACTGTTTGCTAACATGTCAGTCTTACGGCTTGTTACACTGCCCCCAAGTGGCAAAAAAAAAACAACAGTTACTACAAGTTTGGTCTGATGTTTGTCTGATTATTTCATGTAATTCAGATGTATACCTTACTGTAATATACAGTATACTACAATGGAAACCCCTTATTAATATTTTGCTATTGATTTCAGCTATACCAACCAGCTCTAATTACAAACAATGCAAACTTGCTTGTTACTTCCACTTGTGCAGGTAAAGAACATATGAGTACATTGGTAGTCAGCCAGCTATAGACTGTGCTTTGTGCGATATGATCAAGTGAAACATTTTACCAGACGTGAGTTGATGCAAAGTGTTTGATTTGTCAGCCATTGACTGTGCTGTTTCTTTGAGGTTGTCTCTCAGCGCCCTCAGAGGAGGAGAGCTCTGACATACCATTCGTGAGGAGGCCAGCTGACCTTCGACAGAACAATGCTCATGTTTGTGAGCAAGACACAGAAAGAAACGGAGGGAGAGAACCAGAGACTTATTGCTTCTTCTGGAACATAGAAGGACCAGAATACATAGCGTACACAACACACACAAGCGGGACTACAAGGAGAAATATGCGGTCCACCCATCAGTTAACAAGAGAATGTCAACAATGTCTGATTGACAGGGATAGAGAAACAAATGAAGTGGCATGATGGAGTATATAGCACTGTTGCCAGTTAGCAAGACAGCAGAGGCCTCTCTGTGTGGAGTTTACATGTTCCCCCTCAGGCAGAGGACCCTTAGGTAGATCTTAGATCTGTAGCTTGTCTTGTTGGAGAATGTTTGCCCTCTTCACAAATAGTAGGACAGGTTCAATTCTTGAGGTCATGGAAAAAATTAACTCTATATTTCTCTACTTCAGGTAAAAGCAGCACAGAGCCTCACTACCATTGGCAATGTAGTTCTGAGTGAATGTTTCTTCTAAGATTTAGAAGTTTAAGATGAACAACAAGTCCCTACCTGCTAATGTAAATACAGTGTGTTATTTTTGAAATGTATTCTATGTATTTTTTGTATCTGTGCCTTTATCAGATGTGTGTTCCTCTATACTCCTACCACGTATTACTGCAAGCTAACAAGCTCAAGAGTATTACCATGAGTTGCGTGTGAGGCAGGTTACTCAGCCTGTCTGCAGCCAACCAGTGAACCTGTTCTGAAACTGTATACCTGTGCTGAAAAGAGGAGTCGCCATTTCAGTACTGTCTGTTTGGATCAGTGTTCCCTGTGGCGCTATGCCCTCTTTAAGAGCTCCTCTGTTGGGGATCTATTCCTTGGCCCCTGACTGTTTCTCTCTGTTGACACAATGGCCCCTTTGTACCTACATATACTGCTGCTGTGGGATCTTGCTTCGTTTTTTCGGCAATTATACACAATCCCAGTACAGCCATCCCTCTTGTTCCTGCTTCATTGGAGAGAAATGCAATCAAATAGAGGAGAAATGCAGTGAAACGCGGATTGAGGTAGAGGCTTGCAGGAATTAGATTGTGGTGCTGATACGTTCCATATAGAGCAAGTAAACATGTTCTTATCTTGTTATCCAGCTTGCACATTAACACATGGTGTGTGGAGGACGTGGAGGAAGGCTTAACAGGATAAATCAAATCCTAATCATTCTGTTTGGCTTTTCCCACTCTCTGCTCTTTGTCTCTATTTCTGTTTCTCATCGTGCAAAGAACCCTGGCGCACACGCGAGAACAATGTAGGGGTCAGAAGCACTAACCATTTTCCTACACCTGCTGAATGCTCCAGAAATGAGTGCACAGTGATTACGTGCCCTAATGTGTGGTGTTTAAAGAGCAGTTTCCTGCAGCAGAGTTAAATGATGGTGCCCTCTGTGAAGTATTAATGATGTGGATGGATGAATCAGGTCGGCGCAAACCTGTTGACGGCAGCCGCGGAGCTCTCTTAAAGCGGCACCCAGACATCAGGCTTAACCGCTTGGCAAATTGGACATGCTTGTTGGCTGTTGCTCCAATTTATGTGCACTCTGTATTGCAGTTAGTCCATCTTCATTATTGAAATGGCCTCTCGTCAGGTCTTGACAGAGTGGTGGAGATGGTGAAGGGAGCGAGAGGGGGAACATGCAGGAGAATCATGAATAATGTGGAAAATAAACACATTTGAGGCATTGGAGCCGACTGGCAGGAGGGGTGTTGGGAGGGTTGTGAAATGCCCAGCTTTCGTTTCTCTCTCTCTTCGTGTGATTGTATGTGCAGCTTCTGCCAGTGGATGCTGATGCTGTGGATCCTCAGCCTTGGGGCTTTGTCTAACACACATGCAATTGGGCATAAATACACATGCACACATGTGCGCAGGAACCCTGCTACACATCCACAAGTAGCTCTAGGCGCTGAGCTCCGGCAGGACCTCTGCAGCCTGACCAGCATCGCAGCTGTTTGTTTTGTCACTGCCACTCTGGAGACACACTGCTCGGTGGCCACAGCCTATGTCTAATAGGGGGCTGCTGTGACTCCACTTTTTCCCCGGGATTGTTGTATTGATAAGTCTGGGCTTAGTTCATCTGGGTCAGCCAGTTCAGGAGGGGATAGCCAATTCCAATTCAAGCTTTGTTGAAGGGGATGTTTTTATTGCTAGATGTAGAATTTCAATTTCTCAGTGTGCCGAATTGATACAAGATAACCTGAAAAACATCTCTTAGCTCTGTAAATGCCATGTGCACTTAAGCCTCTGCTTTAGGAGTAATAGCGCTCCTCTGTGAAGAGAAGAACAGGGGTCTGGCTGGGTCTACCTACAGGGTCCTTGTACCTGCTGCACACATGAGCAGATGTGATGGCTCATGAGATAATTACCCACTGAGCCGATGTGTATGCAACTGTAAGCTTAAGCAGGGGTTCCCTTCAGGTAGCTCTCCTGCTCAGGTCAGTGAGCAGCTAATGACATTTAGAAGCAATAGGATGAAAGAGATGGCAGTTGTTTGTAGTCAGCCGCACATCACCTTTGTCTTATTGTGTGCCGTCTGTCTTAATCTCCTAGCCACCCTTTTCACACCACAAGGAGATCATGTTATTAGATCCCTTCCCCTGGCTCATTTGTCATCCTGCAGCACCACTCCTCTGGAGGAGGACTGCAGGAGCTAAAAAAAAAAGGAAACAATATAAAGAGGCAGGAGGCCACAACATCAAATGTTCATCATTTACTTGCCCCAGAGTCTCTTGTATCATCATTATTCTTTCAGGAATCACACTACGTTAATATGCTTTTTCTTCACCCCACCCAATTTCAAGAGGCTGACAAACCTCTCTTCCCCCTCTACCTTAACGTACTATTTTGTATTACATTGTACTCAGGGCACTGCATTCCTGCTTCTCATATACTCAATCATCCCCACCCCTAGTTCCACCATCACTTGCTACAGTAAAAAGTATTGTCAGTGTTCACAGTTTGCTGTCACCACCTCAGTCACATCTCTGTTCTCTTTGAGCTGGGTTGGTTTCTTGCCGCTGAGGTGCACACAAGGGAGGGAGCCAGCTAATTACAATAAACAAATATGCTCAGAGCCGCCTATGTAGGGTTCGCATAGGTTAACAACTCTGCTATAAAAGTTAAATGAAGCTTAAAATAGGATAGTATGGCATACAGTTGCCATAGTGATCTCTTGCTGTGATTCTTCCACTCTTGTATACTTTCTTGGTTTGTAAAGTTTAAATTAATCTTAGACACGAATCTGTGATAAATAGACAAAATGAGTGATTGTTTGGTGCCCCAAGGGCCTCTTTGATGTCTCTATCATGTTTGAAGCTTTTACTTCAGTTACTACATCTTTGTGTTTGCCTGTATTTGTTGTAATACAATCAAATGTACTGCCGTTAATGTTATGCTGCATTAGACACATGTCACCCCTTAACGATTCTTTCCGTAGTCACATCTCTTTTTTTATTTCTCTCTGTCTTCTCTGTTTCTCTCTGGCTCTCTCTTTCAACAGGTGCGACAGTCAAAATGATGCGTAGGAGGTGAAACGTTGAACTGTATTGATGGATGTGTTAACAGACAGCAGTCTCACATTGATCGTGAAGACTTCAGAACCAGAGAATGCAAATTCATTGGAGGGCACAGGTGAAAACTACTCACTTTTTTGTGACACATGAAAATGTTTACTTTGCTTTTTAATTCTTTGAACATTTAAAAAAATTTGATTTTTCCAAGAATAATCGTTAGGATTTGTTAGAAAAAATGAAAACTTAATCACAACAATTTCTCACAACATCTTAAAAACTTTCATAGGACGATCAGTATTACCACCTGAACGAGCTTTCTTGAATTACTGTAGCTTTTCACCCTCAGTTATAAGCTCCTTGACAAGATAAGAGGAAGGTGAAACGTCCTGTCTTTTTTAAATGAAAAGTGGAAAAGAAACATTAAATGAAGCTTTTTAAGCTACTGTTAATCCTCTCTCCCAATGCTTCCACAACTCAGAAAATATGACATCTACCATTTCTCATAAAAAGGTGCAAATGTGAAAGTAACCATTAATTCTTTCACACTCATTCACATTAATTAGCACAGACAAAAGATGGTGTGTATGTGTGTGTGTGAAATAATGTTAATTCTGATTTATTTCTTTAGTTATTCAGTTTTATTTTAGGTCATAGCTGCTGCCTCTGTATAAATTCTCAATAACATAAACCATGCATCATAATGGTATTTCCATGATGTAATCTCTTCATGTAAAACTTAATTCAAGTTAATTCAGGTAACTCTGCAGTATAGTACCTTCCTTTAACTGGACTAGTAGCCGCACTGATGTGCATTTTCCAAGGCTCACTCAGCCACCACCTACTGCCCCCTAAAGTTTACCTCTTACCAAGCACCACTGGTTCTTAGATGAGGTTTATCTCAGTGTTTCAGCTCTGGTCAGGAGGGACTGACCGGTTCCCACTGTGAGAATCACATAGATTATCCCCAGCGGTAGCCTGTTCCTTGACAGGCACCGAGAAAAAGAGGAAGGAGGAGAGGATGGAAAATGAGAATAGAGAATAGAGTGGTAGACGAAAGGGTGAAAGCAGCTCCATTGAGCAGGAATACGGCAGCTCTCTGAGGAGGATGGCCATGAATCACGCTGCAGTTACTCACCACTTATTATGAACATCCTGTACTGGCTGGATTGATTTCCCCCCACCATTCATAAAATGTCATATAGTGAAGATGGAGCAATAGGTAGCAAGTGGCTTCTGTGGCTGGCCTACCAGCTGGGTGAGTGAACGCCCCGGGTGGCTGAGCTGCAGAACGGCTAGCTCGGCATTTTACAAATGTAAAAGCCTCCATATAATAGGGATAAGGAGCGGGGAAGTTGGAAGGAAAGGAGATAGCAAGCAGAAAAGGGAGGTAGAATGGAATAGAAAGGGGGAATGGGAGAGAGGAATAATTTCAAAAAGCCATTTAAGGGAGAAAAAGGCCATGTCAGCTGTTTTCATTTGTGTTGTATTTCAAATTGTAATATTTGAGCAATTTTGTTCCTTCGGCCACATGAAGTAGATGTTTGAGTTTGCCTCATTTTACGGTCATCATATAGAAATAAAATTATATTTACTGTTTTTGTTTGTTTAGAAAGTGACTAAATGTATGTGTGTATGCGCATGTGTGTCTGTGTGTGCATGTGTGGCATATGATCTGACACACTAATAGATGAGGCAAGCACAAACGCCAACTTCATGTCCATGACCATGTCCCTCGGCATGGGCCGGTCTGGCCACAGCGCCGCCTGGCACAGAGCAGCTCGGGCTTACCTCAGGTGGATGAAGCCCTGAATGTCATGGCTAGAACCATAGACGAGGCTCAGAGAGCTCAGAGTGCTAACTGGTCTGGACTGGTCTGGTCTAGTTTGGCGGTGGTAGGGCTGTCTAGCATGGCTGGGCTTGGCAGGGATGGGGATCAGAAGATCACCACCTCCTGCCAGCAGCCAGGGTCCTTCCATATGCTCAGTGGTGAATGTCCTTGCCAGCTTGTATGAGCTGTGTCACATCCAGCCTCAGTTTCTATTCAAGGAGCACTTCTGATAACACAATTACAAAACTACAACTGTGTCAGAATGATCTGTGTGTGAAGCTTGTTTTTTATTAGTATATCAGCTGCTCTTTTAGTAAAAGCTAGATATTGAATTCTGGCAGCAGTGAGTATTTTGGATGTTTATTTTGTTTACATTTGGCAGCTCAGATGCAGCAGTAACAGTGTGTTGTACCATATCGGTGAATATGAGGCTGCCGATCCCCCTTTGACCTCTAATGTCAAACTTGATTTGTCATCTAGTCATCGCTGTAAGACCCTGTGTATGTCTGTGTGCGTGTGTTTGTGTGCGTGCGTGTGTGTGTGTGTGTGTTTGTGTACCTGTCTGACTGACTGATCTGTGGCACATTCTGAACAGCTGAAGAGCTAATGGTCCAGCTGGAGACAGATGGCCTCTCGATAACACTATACCCCCAAGCCAATACTCACACTCTATCACTCTCACTGTTATGCGCACACATACACATGCATGTAAACACACACACATACACACACACACACGCACGCACACACACACACACACACACGCATGGGTTCACACACATTCACACACCAGAAAATCACACGCACGCACACATTGGATAGGATAGATTGTTAATCCATTATAAACCCTGAGGAAACACATTTTTCAATATGAGTTTAATGTTTCACAGCAATTTTGAACAATCTTTTGGCAATATTAGGTGGCAGCTTAGGTTTCATGTGAGCACAAGGGGAAGTTAATTTCCCCCCCTTTTTTGTAATTTCCCTCTTTCTGTGGCTTTGCTCCTTTGCAGGGCTAATGAAAGAGATAAGTAATCATTTCTTTATATTTATTTTATCTGTGAATGCTTGAAAATTGCACTGGCATTGTTTACGTATAATTCCAAATAAATCTAAATGAACTGTCCACCTGGAAGGAATCATTACAGTCCTCCTATGCGTCTCTCTTTGCAATAAATGCCATACAATGGAATGTGGCTCAAAATATAATACTGAAAATCTTGATTAAATGTAGAAAGAGGATATCTGTCCTGCCACAGAGAACATGTGTCAGTCACATGCTCTGAGGTCATCTTGGCTCACAGACTGAAGGGAACTGATGGCAAACGCCTCGATGTGATGCTTCTGCAGCCTCTCACAAGTTGCTACTATAACAGTTTTCTGATTCGAGAGGAAGAGAGAAGATGCATATTTCTCCTGAAGCTTCCTTCATTAAGTATGACAGTAGTGCAGTCATATGCTTTTAGTAGTTCTGGTTGCTCCAATGTGTCTACAGGCCGCAGACCCAGAGAGACCTGCTCTCAGAAATTTCATTACCTCATTAAATCACTCACAAATCATATCCACATTCAAAGATGTATGCCATGTTGAATACTGTTTGTTAAGCAGTCTTCCCCTCAAGCGTTTATCACTACCTCAATAATGATTAGGCTCATCCATTCTAAAATGAGGGACTTTGCTAGTTAACCTCTGTGAACACATCAGTTGCTGTGTTGTTTTTCAATTTTAAATGTCTTTTCTGGCATGTGAGGCTGCAGCTTGGGATTGTAGAGGGAGACAGGTGTAGATGATATTGGTTATACAGTCTCCAACATATGGGCCTGTCGTGTCCCATGTGTACGTACCTGCCTCCGCTGCTGTCATCTAATTATACAGAGCAAACAAAGCTATCTGCCTGCTGCTGCAAGCCCGCTTCTGTGGGTTTTGATTGTTACTCATCAGATGGAAGTCTTCAACTGATTAAGACATTGTCACAATCGACCTGCAGAAAATCTACCTACCTACTTTCAATTTAGTCATTACCACTATTGTTGCTGCCATTCTGTGTAATTTTATGGTACCTTTTTACCTTAGAACTAAGTTGGATCTGTGTCTATACAGATGAAACACTCAAAGGAGGGAGGTGCAAGATGACTGCATTAATTTGATCTCATATATTGCTCTTGGGTTGGTAAGGGAAGACTGAGCTAACATTATCTTCAGTTACCCAATAAGTAACATTTTTGGAGTGACTTTTCATACGTCTTTGAATGAGAGTTTTTTTTTAAAACGCAATTCAAACCATTTAGTAATAAATAATAATAATACATGTTGCAAAGATATAGAAGTCATTCTATTGATCACTAACACCCACTTTCAGTGTTTGTTTATGAAAGCTTCACACTGCTTCCTGTAAGCAGATGACACATTTCTATTAAAAAGAATCACATTAGCTTAGGCCATTATGTTAACTGAATATAAAGCAGGTAACTCGTATGACAATTTGGCATTTTTGGAATCTTTATGTCTGTGTTTCTTCTTGCCTAGTCTAGACTTTTACTTGTCGTTGCTAATACCTTTGAATTATTAATGTTTAAGGCTGCCATCACAAAATGACATTTTGAGCTCTAGGGGGTTAATTGACGCTAATTGCATTTCAGCAGTTCAGAAGAAATGTCAGTGTAACTACAGAACAAAAACAATGTGATTTAACTTCAGACTTACAGTTATAAGAGTTGTAAGAGCTGAAGTCTATTTCTCTTTTTTTCCCCTGCAGGGGTATGTGAGCAGAGTGGTGATCTGAGTCTGTGCGGGCTGGTCGATGCTGCTCTCCCTCCATCCTCACCTCCACCTGCCGTACAGACTTCCCAGCCGGCCTGCCCAACACAGCAGAGCACCACGCCTACATCACCGACCCTCCCCCTGCCCCTTGGCACAGACTCCTCTCTGAGCCTGACAGCGGCCCCCTGCCCTCCCTCCAATGACGCTCCAACTGTAGTCCCCCACCTTCACCACACTCCCCCTCCCACATCACTTCCCACCCCAGCTGTAAGCAACTGGGGTCCAACAGGAGCCCCCCAGAAGACTTCCCTTCTGCTGCCTGTTTCCCTCCCTCTGTCAGCTACAATGATGGAGCCTGGCACTGTGTCTGCCCTGGCAGAGGAGTGTCTTCTTCAGCCTACCCGCACCTGCCTTGGCTGCTTCATTGAGACCCGTGATGCTACTGACCCTAATTCCATCCAGAACCCACCCCATGACCCTAACACCAACCCTGACACAGAGACTGGGCTAAGTGTAAGGATAGGGGATGTGAGCCGAGAGGACTTCTCTGACATCAACAACATCAGTATCCAGTGCCTGAGCCATGCGGGGGAGGCAGTGAGTCACTATGGAGAACAGCTCCTCTCTGACCAGCTACTTAGCTTTCCTCTGCCGAAAGCCCCAGGTGAGGGCAAGAGAGTGGATGGAAACAAAACAACAGAGGACTGTGATGACCCAGAGGATGATGCAACAGCTAAGAATTTGTATGAGGGACTGTTACTGGACAAAGTGAGCGGAGAGGAGGTTCTGCTGGCTAATGCTGGCCAGGACTGGGGCTACTTTGAATCCTTCATCAGTGAGAGTAAGATGGAACTGCTGGACCTTTGTTCTAAGAATGAGCTGTCAGTCAACCTCTTCTCTGAGGAAGATGTTGACAATCTATTTGATGATGAAGACGATGATTCAACTTTAAGTAGTGATGTCTGTTCGCTGAAGATTCGTTATGAGTCTTTCCAGGACAATATGAGGGAGAAAACAAATGTGCTCCAGGAGGAGACACAGTTCAACTTCTTCCCTAGTGTCCTGGCCAACTGTGCCAAGAAAGAGGAAGGGACGGGAGTTTTGAGAAGGAGTGCTGAGGAGCTCCAGCCCAAAACTGATGAGCTCATCCTGGTGACAGGACAGGAAGGAAAGGCTGGGGACTGCAGTGGCAGGAGTCCCCTTGATGGTTCCCAAGGCTCACCCATGTCCACTCCCAAAGTGAACTACTTAATGGACTTTAATTCCACAGAGGAGTCAGGAGAGTTTAGTGATGACAGCTCCTGCACCGGTTCCTCCTCAGATACCCTGCAGGAGGGCAAGTTTAAGAAGGGCCACTCAAAGAGATTGCTCAGCCCCTCTAACCCTCTCAACTATGGTTTGCGCTCCAAGAGAAAGGTACGATACAGTGATGATTACTTATATGATGTTGACTCGCTTGAGAGTGAGAAGAATGCAGAGAAAAAAGAGAAAGCTCCCTCTGGTCAAAAAGAGGAGGAGGATGTAGACTGGTGCCCCAAAAAACGTCGGAAATCCTGTCGTAAAGAGCCACCAGTAGTCATCAAGTACATTATCATCAACAGGTTTAAAGGAGAGAGACTCATGTCAGTGAAACTGGGCAAGTTGGACCCTGTGGATGCTACTGTGAGCTTAAACACCGAAACAGTAAGCAAATATGAGACACTGGCTCCTCTGAAGGATTTCTGGCAGGAGAGGCAAAGAGAGAGACAGGAACAGCTTAAGCTGGCTGCCAGAGATAAACAACAACGCGGTTTTCATCTAAACGGACGCCATCATCGCCCTTTTAATTCTAGTCATCCCAAAAGGAAATACAAGATTGCCAACAGGCTTAAGGTTCAGAGGATTCACACTGTGGAGCAATCAGCAACAGCACAGGGCTCCCCTCTTTCTGATCAGGGCCAGAGAGGTGTCACTAAAGAAGAGGCCACCCCTACGGTAGGGGGAATAATAGCAGCCCCAGGCCTCCCAGTCACATTAGACACAAACTCCATCACGCACACAGTCACAGCCAAGAGCCGCTCCCAGGAGAGGGAGGAGAGGGAGGGGAGGAGATTGGGAGGAAATAAAACAGTCAGGATAAGGAAATTCAAAAGCGAAGCCAGGCTGCGGAGCAAGAAAATGAAAGCGGCTGAAGGAGAGGAGGGGAGGAGCGTGACAAATGAAACGGATGCCTGTGTCGCTGCGGCACAGATTGAGGACCCAACTGCTGGGTTAGAAGAGGCAGGCATTAGCTCAACTACAGTCAAACCCCATTTCTCAGACAATACCACCACCGCTCACACATCTGAGGAGAAATTCCCCTTTGTTTCGTCCACCTGTTCTCCCGGCAAAACCTCCTCCTCAGAGGAGGTGGAGGCGGGGGTTCCTGTAATCCCGGGGGGCTACCTGCAGACCCTGTTAGATGCTACTGACTCCTCGGGTGGTGCAGCGATCTCTTATTTCCCCCAGCAGCCCTCTAGGCAGCAGTATCCTCTGGGGCTATCCCTAGAGGAGAAACAGTTTTCTTCTCTGCAGCTCGCTCAGAGCTGTGTCCTATCTCCTCCCTCCGAATCAGAGCTTCAGCAGTCTCCACAGAACTGTCCCAACTTCCCCCCAATGTGGCACCCGCAGCTCTGTGCAAGTCACAGCCAGAGCTTTGGGCCTGAGACCCCTGAGACTCCCATCTTACCCAACAACTTCCCAGCTGCTGTGCCCCTGAATGACAGCCTGCCAGTGTCTAACTACAGCCAGCTGAGCCCTGAGGCTGACAGGCTGCTGTATGAGAAGAGCTACCTGACTGAGTCTGGGTTGCAGCCTGGGGCAGATCTGCAAGTGTGTCAGTCTGCCTGTGTGGAGGGCCAGGTGCAATACCAGAGAGGGTCCCTGTGCACGGACAATGGCAGGCTCATCAGCTATGACTCAGTGGGCTCTCTGTCAGCCTCCTCAAGCAATTACAGCTCCCTCAGCCTCAAGTCGTGTGAGCGAGAGGGTGAGGAGGAGGGCCGAGACAGCTTCTTAGCTCATTGCAGTCCTAAAGTGGTGATTCAGCAGAGTGTGGATGCCCTTACCCCACTTAGGGAGTCCTCAGACCTGCTGGACATCTCCAACTTCACCCCTGACAAGTTTAGACACTCATCACTGTCAGAGCTTTCCCCTCCTGAGACCCCTAACCTGTCCCCCCAGGTGGTGGGGCGTGAGATGAAGATGGCAGGGAATGTTGGAGAATACCAGGATGTGAATGATATGACTATGGACTGCAATAGGGAGGTAAAGTGGAACTGTGACGTTATGCAGCAACAAGAGCACACAGCAAATGCATACACAGTGGAAGACAGTCAGTTTCCGCTGCACAACTTTAACAGTCAGGATGTGTTATGTTTAGATAAAAAGGAATTTGATGAACAGACTGGTGAGATGTTGGCTGCTGCGAAAAGCAATAAGTCAAAGAGGAAAGGCAATTGCAAACAGACTGCTGCAGGACAGAGCCCAAAGAAAGTCCGGGCTCCCAGAGCTCCAAAGTCAGAAAAGGTCAAGACCCCCAAGCAAAACTCACGATCCACCAAAAAGATTAAGGCCATGTTAGAGGGTAAAGCAGCAAAGAACCAGCCAGGTGGTTGTGGTTCAGGCCTGACTGACAGTAGCAGCACTGGGGACTGGTCTGGCACCGGTTGGTCAGAGAGCAACAGTCTGGTTGGGGACGACCAGAGAGAATTCGAGGAGCCCTCAAATATTCTGTCTAACATTGTCTCCGGCATGGCTGAGGTTCAAAGGTTCATGATGGCCTCCATTGAGCCACTGTGGAATCCCATGTCTGAGGCCTGCATGCCCTCTGAGGCAAATAGCCTCAACCTAAAGACCCTCAAAATCTTGGCAGGCACAGAGGCTGACCTGAAGAAAAAAGGAGCTGTGCTAACAGGGGCTGGGAGAGGCAGAAAGGCAGGGGGAAAAGGAGGAAAAAACCAGGCCAAATTCAACCCCTCGCATCCCTTATTCCCTCAACTAGCCCTGGGCTGTAACATGTTTGATAAACCCAACTTTATTAACCCTGGGCCTGCACACAAAAAGCTGTACCGCCACAAGACCAGTGCAAAGTTCCCTCGGATTGAGACACTGAAGGGGAAGCGAGCTGAGAGAGACCCAAATAAGGACATAGCACTGATGACCTCTTTTGAGAAACTGAGGTAATATTTTGTTATCAGCTGCTGTTGCACCCCCTTCTCACTTTCCTCCTCTACCTGCTCAGCCCTCCCTCCCAAGCATACCTACACTGACGCTATGCCAGAGCTGCATGAGTACTACGTTCCCCCTGACTACTCCCACTTCCTTTTAACCTCCACCCGCTCCCCACCCCCGAAGAGGAAATTAATATCTGCATGAAAAACTTCTTGTACTTTGCAAACTACCTATTGAGTGATTGTGTCAAGCTTGATTGAGATTTGAAACGACCATGGCTGCATTTTTCTTGCTTTTGTTGTTTCTGCTTTGTTTGTTCTTCTTATAGTCGTTTTTGTTTTATTTTTGTCTGAAAAAAAGAATAAGCCTTGAAAACAGTTCTGTCGCCTTTTTGAGGAACTTGTTTTTGTATTTTCTCAGCAGAACTTGCTCCCCTGAATTATGTATTTATTCCCCTTTTCACTAAAGATGTAGCTATATACACAAATGCATTGAGTGACATCTACGCACCCCTCCTCCTCATCTGTTTTTGTATGCAGAATATGGATGTCCTGTTGTTGCTGTCCTTCATACACTGCCTGGCTCATTTCAAGAGGGAAACCTACAATTAATGAGCCCTATTTAAGCCCAAGACATCTTGAAAACACAAGATGGGACCATTTTGTATTGATGACATATCAGACGTTGTCTTTTTCCCCCCTCAAAGTTGGAATGACTCCCCATTTCCTTTTATCAAGCATTTCTTTTTCCTCTGAAGTTTAGAGGAACTGGTTATCTGAATTTACATTTTTACGCCTTGCAAATTCATAAAAGCTCCACCCTCAGAGTATTTTTGTCAATGTTGTTGTACAGGGACATGCAATATTTGCAAAAAAATATGATTATAATCTTAAAATCAATGTGCCAAAAGTAACAATGCTGTGTAAATGACCTCTTATATATGTGTGAATATTGGCTGTTCCTCTTTTCTATCCATTGGAGTATTGGCTGCTCGGGTTGGAGACTCCTTACTGAGACTTGCCACTACAGGAATTCTTCATTTGGGACTTTTCTCTATTCTCTGATGAAAGGCACCAACAGCTGGCAGTGGTACACCACCACTCACTAAACCAAATCAGAAAGACTCTGAATTCTCCTTGTTTCCCCCATTTTGTTTGCCAAATTCAATTTACCTCAACATCGCCTGGCACTGAGAAGTAACAAAAGAGAGGCAAAGGGGAGAACTTCTCTTAAGGCTACTGTAGAGGAAGAGGATGAAAAAAAGAGAGCTTTCTCTGGCCCAAGGATAGTGTAGTGCAGATGTTTGAGGGTAAGCAAGGAAATATTTGTCAGCTGGGGCTGTGCCTCACTGAATAGCTGTTTTGTACTGGAAATTCAAGGCAGTTTATTACTCATAGAGATTCTGATGCACACATCAATCGTGAATGAACATTACAATTTTGCAGTTAGATTTAATGTGAATGTGAAAGCAGTTTTCAGTACAAATGGAATCAGTAATCTTGTAAATGAAGGAAAGCATGTCTTTGCATAAGCTCCACGTGGGAATCCTACATCTATATTACCTGAAATGGTAATTTAAACAGTAATTTTTCTTGACATTCCCATGTAATTTATTTCTTAACACTGCCATAGTTTAATAAGTTTCACCCCTGTGTATTCGGTCTGATTATTTTGGTTAATGTTTCACATAATGTCAAAATTGAACTTTCTTTTCAAGGTACTTTCTTTTATATGTCTTTAATTGTCATCTCAGTTTTGATGGGTCAATATTTTGGCAGAAAATATTGTCACCAGAAAATCAAGGCCAAATAAAGGCACAAAATGAAAAAAAATGTATTGGTGCTATCTGATCCAGTGTATTCCTAGGCTATTTATATTAAGTACTTAGGGCTCATTCACTGCCTCACCACCCTGAAATAAATCCACCTTAAAAATATCCATACAATCATTTCTAATTGGTTATAAAATCTTTTGATTTTATATAATAAGTTCATTTTAGGAGCAATCAAGAGCCCCTACAACTGGTAACAAGAGTATATTTTATAAATATATACTCAAACAATAGGCCTATGTTTTCTCTCTCTTTTGAACAGTAAATGTAATTTTTATGCAGAGACTGCATGGAGATGTGTGGACAAATTGAAGCTTGATGTAAAAACAGGCCTTGTCACACTGGATATGGTAATTCTGGCGCACAGGTGATAGTAATTGATTGCTTGCATATGGCAAGAATCATAATCAATCTTTCTCTGTCTCTTTTTTTCTATCCTCACTTCCATGATCCTTTGTTTCTTTTCTCCAGTGTATCAGGGTTAGGACCAAGACAAGCTGCTGATGGGAAGCTCCACATGGGCTGCAAGCCCATTTAGTCTGCCTTCTCTCATTTCTGCCTATTGTCAAATTGAATGTACTTCTCTGAGTTCATAGTTGTTTTTTTTTCTTTTTTACTTCTTTTTGTTTTTAAAATGTGCCACTGTTGAGCTGCCTCATGTTAATGGTGCTAAGAAAGCTGACAATTGTTTTCTTTTTTTTGGTTTTTTGTTATCCCAGAGTTAACAAAAAAAATAAATGCAAAATAGATTAGGTACCTAACCCTCTTTATGAATGTATATTATAATGTTATGTTTGATGTATTCACTTCATGATTCTTTGACATTGATTGGAATTACTTTTGCTCTTTTCATTAAAAGATTACCGAGCTTTATATATACTGTCTAGAGTTGTTACCAGAAGGAATCTTAATGAACTCTTGACACTACAAAATCTTGTATATTTTTTGTGTGCCAATTTGTAACATATTTTGTAAGTGTATATTTTTCTTAGAAAGTGCTGTGAAGTATTTGTGTGTGTGAGTAACCTTTTATGCGCCTCTATGGGCAGTGGAAAGGATATACAATGACAAGTTTCTGGTTTTAAAAACCAAAATATGAAAGTATCAACAGAAAACTAAAAATATTTACATTTTGTTGGGAGTTTTGTAATAAGACCATGATCTTGTTGTGGGAGTGTTGTGTTACTGTGCAAAACACAAATAAGCAAAGAAAAAAATGAAAACTTGGAAAAAAAATATAATTTGTGAACAATTTGCTGTTTTATAGATTTTCATGTAAATTATTTGAGTATTATTTAGTTTTTTGTTTTGTTGTAACTGTTGCAAAGGTTTTAAATATTTGTGATCAAGCCTGTATGGTGATAATGTAATATTGGTAACTTGCTGAGTTTTGTAATAATGTTTATGGAGTAAATATACAAATTAAAATAAGATTTTGAATGCTGCTTTCTGAAGAGAGTTGGGTTGTGTTTTTTACCTCCAACCTGTTGTTATAATCAAGTCCTACAGCATAAACAGCAAACATAAAATGAATCTCCACACTATTAACTTATCTGCAAACAAGTTCGGTCCATTCAAAATAATAATTACAAAAAGGTTATGGCATGCAAGTGAAAACACTTAATACTATAAACACCTTATTGAGATGTCAGGAGTGAAGTGTATGTATTTGTTAAGCAAATACCCTTCCCCCATCTTTGTGGTACTACTACAGTAATAATGCCACAAAATGTGCAAGTGTAAATACAACCTTAATAATTCCAATTAGTCTGTCTTTATTTGTTATATTGGAAGAATCTGGACGAAAGGCATTTTAATTTCTGCACAAGTCTAGTGTTGGCTCATGTTATTTTAATGTCATATCTAATTAGCACACAGGGTCAGCCATTGCTAGAGTGACTGCTCATCCATAACTCTGAGCTGGGCTGCTGTGGTCCCCACTGCAACTCATTCTGGCATGCTTAATTGGCCCTGGTGATACTGTCTCAGATCATAAACAGATCCTGTGATGTATACCTCCAAAATTGTCAGGTGGTATTAACATTGTTTTTGTTCTTTAGTCACCCATAGCCAATAAGGGAGTGAGCAAATTATAAGATGGGGTGTCTAATGCAATGGTTCAGGTATACCTGGGTTTATTAAATGAGATCCTTGTTGTTTTGTCAGTGCGCGCTCACCAGCCATAGACTCTTTCATTAGGACATTTGTTTGTGTGTGTGTTTTTTTCAAATCATTACTGAGGAGACTATAGAGTAATGATTTGAAAGAATCAGCATGTCTATTTCTGCATGTTTTCATATTGTATGCGTGTACTTCTAATTATTGTGTCAAATCACAAAAAACACCAATTACTCAAACACATTTTTGTTTGGCTGGCAGATTAGTTCTAAAAGAAAAACTTATTTAAATACAAACCTTTACAGACTAATCTGATGTGCTAAATTCAGTAAGATGACATAGTACCAAATCATTTTTTGTGTTAGAACAAAAGAGGCTTTCAGCAGCTGTCCAATAGTCTCCTATAGCTTTACTGATAGTTGTGTATATAACATAATTTTCCCAAATATGAGTCTGTAATAGCTGCAGCTGTGGTTGCTATTGCTATGCTGCTGTATCAATACTGTCCAACCTCCAACCACACAAGAGTCTTAGGGCTTCTATAACCCTGTGGTGCTTCTTTTTCTAAAAAATCTATAGTTGTTTTACTTTTTTAAATGGTAATTTTAAGGATAAAGAGAAATGTATACTATTCTCCTTGACGTTGACTCTGCTATTTGACCTTTTGTTGTTTGTTTTCACTTGGATGATATGTCTTCCTTGCATTTTTATTTATGTTCAAAGAAACTGAAAAACAAAAATCCACTATAATGTTTGTATACTGGGGTGGCGATGGTACAGTGGATCAGTCACATGCCTCTGGTGTTTGATTCCCACAGTGACACATCCACTAATGTGTCCCTGAGAAAGACACTTGACCCCTAGTTGCTCCAGAGGCATGTGACCTCTGACATATATAGCAATTGTAATTGCTTTGGATAAAAGCGTCAGCTAAATGAATATAATGTAATAATTATCCATATTTAGTTAAACAGTTATAATTATGTCCTACATACAGTATGTATCATGTCATTGTCTTTCAGATACTTCAAACTGCAACAGATTTCTGTTTACAAAAATGAGTGATGCTATTCTACACATTCTACACTATTTTGTGCGCTCAGTTGAATTTTATTAGATTACTAATGGTTAATTGTTATAACTGATACAAGTTACTGACACAAAAGCAACAGACTAGAGTGGAAATTCAAATTTATAAAACATATTTTTAACATTTACATTGTAGGTTATTGCTTTTGTTAAACAAGACAACTGAAACAATTTTGGTAAAGAAATAAAGTCAAAATTGGATTAAAAATGACTAATGACCTAAATTATTTTGTAACTATAAAAAACATCAGTTGCTTCCATTTGTGATGTGACATAGGTCGTTGAATGCTTCATTATACTGATGATTTTTATTAAGCCATTAAATAATGTTCTATACTTGTCACTGATGTACCTACAGACAATCCTCCAGCAGCCTGAATTCTGCAAAAGGTAAGAGCATTTGCATCCACAACCGCACCGTGACGCTACAGCTGAACAGTGTCACAGGGTCCAAAACAAACACCCTTTTTTTCTAATGCTCTTCTCAAATGCGAGGCATATTATGGTGCCCTGAGTCTAGTCTTTCAGGCAGTCCCACTCTCAGGCTGCTACGGCTCAATCCCCGCCTCGTTTGCTACGATTGGCAGACGCAAGATAAAACCATTTAGCCCGTGTACTGCGGCGCCTGTGTTTCTACCTGAGAGGTTGAACTCAGGGGATAGCGTCCGTATTTTCTCAGTTTCCGGAAGATCATTGTAGCCTTCCTAAAAGAAAGAAAATGGAATCCTGAAATCGCACTTAGCTAAACAGTCAAGCGTTTTTCAAAGAATATCAGAAGACTAACTGGGTAGTACAATCACATTGCTACTAACATCACTGAACAGGTAATGTAACAAGGATTTGGTGACAGACTGTGTATTCTTTCTAATTATCTTTATTTTCATGAGCTAACTCATTTTAGCTTGTTTGCAGGTTCGGTACTGGTTGTGAACGTCATTCGTTGACGTCGTTTGCTTAGTTAGCTTGCGGTGTTGCTAACAGGGTCGTCAGTGTATTTTAACTAAAATCGCTCGTGTATTTTTCATGAGTGTCCACTAACGATAAACGAGACAAGTGTCCAATTCACGCTTTCCTAACATCAGCGATACCTTTTCCAAATAAGTATTAACGTCAATGTAATGATAGTAAAGACACTTATCACAAAGTTACTGCATAAGTTAGCGTTAGCTGACGTTAGAAATCCCGTTGGAAGTGTATGTAACATTAGTTAGCCACTCGGCTAGTTAACATAGAAGCTAACTAACGTTAGCTAGTAGCGTAGTGAAAGCTCACCATAACCGGGGTTGTTTCCTTCATCTGAGAAGCTTGTTTTGACCCGATACAAATGCTATCTTACGCGACTTAAGACCAGTCGTTCATGTTTTGCTTTAAACATTACATAACGTTATTACTACAAATTTGTCTTCTCTCTCTTTTTTTTTTTAGCTAGTTACGTTAGTGGTTGAAGTTGTCAGTGTTAGCAACCGTGTATATTGCTACTTGTTAGCCAACGTAAGCTAAGCTAGATGATGCCATTTTGTTTTTATCTCGACTTTGGCCAAAATAAAATTACTGCTTTCCCATAAGACTTAAAATACACAAACCATCAACTTATTCACATTAGTTACAGCTATATGTATCTAATATTTTAATATAATGTTTGTTTTGTGAGTATTACGGGAACTTCAACTTAATCTCGGGATAGAACCCCGTGTTGTAAAATGATAATTTACCGTCTATTAAACAGCCACATTTTCTAATGTGTGTTAACCATAGACCGTTAAGTAAGTTAACGTTGCGTTGTAACTTACGTTACTATTAACGCAATGGCTAGCTATCTAGTGTTGCGTTTATATTAATTTATCATGCCCGTTTGCGTTGGAACCAGCGGACATAAACCGTGCTAACATTAACGTTAGCTACTGGGTCAGTGTTCTCCTCGAATAATGAGTGTGTCGCATTGTGATGTTGTATTTTGACTCGTATTTTCTTTTGATGGCAATTTCCCTGGTTGAACGTAATAACACTTATTTGGCCATTACATTAATCACATTAATACTTTAATGGGTCAAATAAAACATTTTCACGTCCCTCTGGTAGTGAAGCCCTCTTGCAAAATCCTGTTCTGAATCAGAGTAGTCTTAATACTTTAAATCTTCAAATTAGAATAGAAAAGACTTTAATTGCACATATTTATGTACAACGAAAAAAATTTGCTGTGCTCTGCCTAATTTCTTGTTAATTTGTTGTTAATTGTAAATTGTTGTTGTTCCATTTTTATTTTTTTTATATTGTCAATTGTATTATTTTTCTCGTTATTCTCATAACTTGCATTTGTTTATTACATATTTATATATTTATACATCTATTTATGTCAGCTATATATCTGTCTGCGTTTTAGCACCTTAACACCAAAGCAAATTCCTTGTATATGTAAAACACTACTTTGCAATAAAGCTCCTTCTGATTCTAAATATATTACATGTGGAGTCAACAAACAGGGCATATTTATCTATTCTTTATGTACATCTTATTCTTTTTCTTCGCTGCTGCAGCTGGATCTTGCTGAAGATTGGAGAACATACCGTGACCTCCCTCCCTTCTGAACCAATGGAAGGGTCTGACAGTTTAGAACAGAGTGGCAGTGACCAGCCAGAGTCACAGCGCAGAAGGCAACTGGACCGCCTGGGCAGGGAGGAGGCTTTCTACCAGTTTGTCAACAATCTCAGTGATGAGGACTATCGTCTCATGAGAGACAACAATCTTTTGGGTACCCCAGGTACAACACCTTTAATTACACTTAACTCTTAAATCTTGTGACAGTAATCTGTGACTGTAATAACTTTGACGTTTGTATGAGCAACTTGGGTGATGCGTAGGTAGGGCTGGGTATCATTACTTCAGAGTGACTTAAAATGATACCAAAACACATCACGCATATGTCTGTCATGAAGTTCCAACAACTGATTCCACTAAGCACTTGTGTAACATAGGATTCAGTCATTTTGAAATTAGATTCTCTGCTATTTTTTTGTTACTTTTCATCTAACAATTAAATCCTCATTGTCATTTATCAGCTCACCTTTTGTATGCATAGTTTGTATGCCGTTCTGAATTCCATTCCTCCTTTTCAAAGTTTGAAAAGTTGGCTGACAAAGTACTAATTTAGACAAACTTAAATCAATACATATAATAAGATTCATACATAATATTAGATTAATACCTGGTGCCTTACTCAAAACTTTTGTTGGTTGTGTCACATTGAAATTCATCCAGCAGGGCTAATAAGTAAGCTAACGTGTCTCTTGACTAATTTGAGAACAGGCATGTCTGGTCCAGAAAAGTGATTTCTTATTAGAAATTATTCTGCAACCAATGTGCTCCAGTATTATAAATTGATTATAGAGTTTTATTTTTTAAATCTAAGATTTTAAAAATATTTTTGGTGTAATTTTTATAACCGCACCCAGCCCTACAAAGAACTGCCTCAAGACTTTTTAATCCTAATTTAGTTGATGATATCATAATTGAATTTTTTTGACCTATTGGTAAAATATTTGTCCTCCTCCATCTTTAGACATATCTACTTGCCCAATTCAATTACAAGTGAAAAGTAAAAGTTAAAGCTTATGTAGCTAGCGCTAGTTTTGGATTTTTCACTATACTCGAAACGACACAGTCTACGGACTACTGAAGACGCCCAATCCATCTCTGTCCCAGGACAGTGGGAAGGGGAATGTAAGTTTGGAGCATCCTTTAGTGGAGCACCCTGCAAGGAGAGGGCATTGAATGGACAGCGGCACGCCCTGGTAAGTCTGGAGGTTTTCAGTATTGTCCTGTTGCTGTGTTCAAAGAAAACCAAACAGCTCTATGGGTCAATGCAGTACAAAAATTAACACTGGTTCATTTCTTTTTTGATACACCTACAGCATTTTTGCAATATAGTACAATATTTTTTACTTTGTCACTTTTTTCCCTTACATGCCAGATATGTAGTTAGTGTGTCCCTCTGCTGACTTTTCTCCTTTCTATGCATTAAATCAAAAAAGACTTGTTCTTATTGTAGGGAGTTAAGTTTCAGTTTCTCACAGCTACCTGAAACTATCCAAACGCTTAATAACCTTCAACAAAGGAATAAGTGAATAGCCAAATATTGTTGTTTTTAATAAAGCACTATTGTTTTGTTTTGTAATGTTTCTTTCAGGTGAGGTAACAGAGGATGAGCTGTTTAGTAGACTTCAGCAAATCAAAGATGGTCCAGAACAACAGAATAACACCCCGAGTACTGAAAGTGGACAGGATCCAGTTGGTAAGCTTGCCATTTACTTTATTTATTTTAGTTATTATTTTTTGACTCTGTGATTTACTGTCAAATTCAGATATGATTTGTTACTTGTTAACTCTGCTGATTTTCAGAACCACCGGAAAGCTCTGATGATCCTCCCAGTGGGGATAGTCTCTTGGACTGGCTGAACACAGTGAGGCGCACAGGCAACACAACTAGAACTGGTCATCGGGGCAACCAGTCATGGCGGGCCGTAAGCCAGACCAACCCAAATAGTGGCGATTTTCGCTTCAGCCTGGAAATCAGTGTGAATCGCAACTTGGCTGAACAGCAGGCAGCTGCTGAAGGGGAGCAGGAGCCATCAGAGGAGCCTTCGGAGCAGCCTCTGGGCCAGCCTTCGGAGCAGCCTCTGGGCCAGCCTCTGGAGCAGCCTCTGGGCCAGCCTCTGGAGCGGTCTTTGGAGCAGCCAGTGGAGCGGTCTTTGGAGCAGCCAGTGGAGCGGTCTTTGGAGCAGCCAGTGGAGCAGCCAGTGGAGCAGCCAGTGGAGCGGCCTTTGGAGCAGCCAGTGGAGCGGCCTTTGGAGCAGCCAGTGGAGCGGCCTGTGGAGCAGGCTATGGAGGAGCATGTGGAGCGGCATGTGGAGCGGCCTGTGGAGCGGCCTGTGGAGCGGCCTGTGGAGCGGCCTGTGGAGCGGCCTGTGGAGCGGCCAGTGGAGCGGCCTGTGGAGCGGCCTCTGGAGGAGTCTCCGGAAGGCCAAGAAGTGGTGGCAAACACTGAACCACAGGTCCCAATGGAGACAGAAGTGGTGGAAGAACCAGTTGCAGAGGAGTTGGCTGTCATAGTGGAACCAGAGCCTGAACTGGAAGAGGTCGTTTCACAAGAGATTTTAGGAGAACCTCCCAGCCCACCTGCTGCCCTGCTGGTACAACCCCCACTTCCTCCTTCTCCACGCAGAGGACAAAGGAGAGCCCGCAGCCGCAGTCCAGAACCACGCAGGACAAGGGCCCGGACAGCCAGGAGCCGCTCCCCTCTCAACTTGGATCAGCTGGATGGTCTGCCTAATCTACGTCATGTCCACAGCTTGCAAGGCCCGAACTCTGCCACCAGTGCTCCCCCTGTGCCTCAAGTGGAGGGCAGTTCTCGGACTCGACAACATGTTCTTTCCAGGCAAAGCACTGCTGACAATGATGTTCAGCCATCTAGGGCTGGTGCAGAATCTGTCCCGGAGGCCCCAAACCCTGGATCTCAGGAAGGAGAAGTTGCTGGGGTGGAAGGGGGTGCTGCAGGGCGCCGTCCCCCAACTATTATGCTTGATCTACAAGTGCGTCGCGTGCGTCCAGGCGAATATCGCCAAAGAGACAGCATTGCTAGCCGTACCCGCTCGCGCTCCCAGAACTCAAACAACACATTTCTTTATGAGAGCGAGCGTGGTGGATTTCGTAGGACTTTCTCTCGCTCTGAGCGTGCTGGTGTGAGGACCTATGTCAGCACAATTCGCATCCCTATCCGAAGAATCTCTGATGCAGGTTTGGGAGAGGCTACATCAATGGCTCTTCAATCTATGATTCGGCAGATTATGACTGGTTTTGGTGAACTTGGCTACCTCATGGATTCAGACTCTGATTCTTCAGATTCAAACCGTGGAGCCAACACACCTGCGGATCTGGCTGAAACACTCAACAACCCAGATGTTACTCCTGCTGCTGCTCCTGCTGCTGCTGATGTTGATGAACCACCTGTGGCAGCTGGAGTCAGAGCAAGGACAGCTGAGACTGAAATGGAAGAGGGCCTTGCCACTGGTCCACCGGCCTCTGGTGGCAGGGCTAGACCTAGACCACCTATTAGCCTAGAGGAGCCCAGCTCACTGCCCTTCCTGCGGCTTGCCCACTTCTTCCTCCTAAATGATGATGACGAGGATCAGCCCCAAGGGCTGACCAAAGAGCAGATTGACAACCTCTCTATGCGCAATTTTGGTGAAAGCGATGCACTGAAGACTTGCAGTGTCTGTATAACAGAGTATGCAGAAGGTAACAAGCTACGTAAGCTGCCCTGCTCTCACGAGTACCATGTGCACTGCATCGATCGCTGGCTGTCTGAAAACTCCACTTGTCCCATCTGCCGCAGAGCTGTCCTGGTATCGGCCAACCGAGAGAGCGTGGTGTAGCTCAAAAAAGACTGCAGGCCTTTTGGTTCAACCTAAGTAATCTTAAAATCCCTAGTCGATAAGAGGCTTTGATGAAATGTCTCCACCATTGAAATGTATTTCCTTCATACCATTTGTGAGTGTGATCATAATGCAGTCACAGGTTTGATTTGGGGATGCTCCACCCATGACATTGAGACATACTCAGTCTCTATTAAGACATTTATTATTGCAGTTCAAAGTTAGGCACAAGCAATGCATGCTGCTTGAATCAACCGGTAGTGAGCAAGCAGTTTGTTGCATTGCGTCAAGCAGTATCTCCTTAAGAATCCCCTGGTTATAAATTCTGCACACCTGCAGGTAGTTCAGGCACATCTGCTCTTTCGTATTCGCTCCTAAATGGCGCCTTTATATACCAGAAAGTTGGGTATTGGCACAGTTCTTAGTTACACCAATTCAAAGTATTAGCTGTAAATAAGCTTGTAAAAATTATTTTGAATCATACTTTGTATCAGTGAATTGGTTTTGGATTGTAAATTATCTCATATGAAGATTAGGGTGGTGTTGGCCGCAATTAACTCTATCAGAGCATCCCTGAAATTTGGTGTTAAACAAATAGGTTGTATCAATGTACACAGCAGAATTATTTAAAGATTGTGATGTCCAAAGGATGTAGGACATTAGTTGGTTTGCTGTTTACAGTGTGACTTGTACTCTCCCTTTTTGTCGACCTAAAAGAAACTACTTTGGAGTGGCATATACCATGAATTGAGTGTGCTGAATTGTTTTTAAGAATAGAATGTTGTGGAGTAAGGGAATGATAAGTCCAACTAGGTTACTTTTTCAAAATGCAAGTTTATTTTGCCTCCATGTTGCATCTTAATATTTTCTTTATCTGAGTAGCATTTGTACCAGCAATTAGGGATGTCTCAATATTGGTAGTAGGTTTTGGGTTGATAACAAGTTGTTGGCATGTGAATTTTCCCACCTCCAAAAATACTATACTAACAGGCATGACACAGATTTGAATATAGATGCTTTTTTCCCCACATGTAAAAGGACATCTACTTTTTAATGTACAACAATGATTTCACCGTCATTTTGTCCTGTCATTCATTATCTGCTGGTCTGATTCTTTATTTTTCCATTAACATATTGAACTCTTTAATTGTTAACTGATGAATTAAGGTCTCTAAGTTGGTACAGGCATAGAGTGAAATGACCGGAAATTGACGTAAAGTGAACTTAAGGCAGAAGAGATCTTTTTACCTGTAGGTCCACCTTAATGTACAAGTGACAACTTAAGTTATTAATCGAAAGGTCCGTTTGGCAGACATTTACCAAGTGTAGGGGGAACAAATCACATCCTTGTCCTTTTGGCCCCCAGTGCCCTCTTTCTGCCTCTTGAGCAGATACTCCATATCAGTGTGCAATACATGCTAAAGTGACAGTAGGGAAATACAAACCATGATATAAATATATGCTATTGTTAAAAACTTTTAATGGCAAAAATCTTAAATGAAGACTTATTACCTTTTTAAAATGTGTTGAAGTTTATTTAGAAGTTCTGTAGGTTTTAATAGCACTATTGATGAACAGAAACACTGGCTAGAGGAAGAAAGGGCATCACTATCAATGCCATCCCGTCATGTTTCTTGTTTCACTGTTTGATGTCTTTGCCACAATTATTACTTCCCTTTGTGGGACAAAAGTTTGAATGCAAGACATTGTCATTGTTGAATACTATAAACATGTAAATGAAATGTATGTTCCCTCTTAGGCCATGCTTTAGATTTGGCCTTGTTCTGTGACCCACCCAGTGCAGTATGTTAACTGGGTATTAAATGAAACTAACCGCTGAATTAAACAAGTTGTTATGCTTCAAAATGCATTGCAGGTACATATGTATGCATCCTGTACAGTCTCTGTCCTGTCAGGTAATTATATTCTGCATTAAGATGCACACATTATTAGTTATTTCTTCTACCTTATATATTAAACAGTCTAAGTATACTTTTATTTCCATGTTTGCTTTAATCTGATTGTTCGCTGATGTTTTACCTACCAGTTCATTTGGACTTTGTTTATGACAATGTCCCTGTAAAGCTGGTGTGAGTTGCAAGTACAGGGTGGTTGGAGTTTCCTTCCCATCAGTTATATCAGTGTTAAAGCTCACACCCATCGGGCTTTATATTACATAAAAATATGTGTAATCTTTTTATACACGCTATGGTAATAATGTGTGATTCATTTGGCCACTAACACTTGCACTTGGAAAAAATCATGGACTGTATATAAAGGGAAACAGTTCAGTTAAGTGTTGTTACTAGCACCCCTACTGGTAGGATTGGTCAAAATCGTGTATGCTCTTTGCCAGAATAGCAGGTTTTGACGAGGTCTCAAACAAGAATGACCTTCAGCTGCAACGTTTAAGCAGCAGGAGGAGACATGGGTGTAGTCTGGGAGACACTAAGTTTTATTTTAAAAACGGTAGTCTTTAGCTCAACTGAAACGAGTTTGCCGCTAACGTTAAGTTGACAGTCCTGGGAGGTTCATACACAAGGAAGTAGACTGCAAGGATGGCGCTTCGGACCGTTGGGAGTCGTTTGTCGCACTTTCCCAGGACCTGTTTCAAGGTAAATGACCTGCTAAGTGAACTTACGTTAATAGTAACGTTATTTCCACTTTATGAGGACTGCCCAAATGCAACGGCAGTTTGGACTTTTAGGTAGAAGAATCGTAACCTTAAAACTGGCTGCTAAATTGAAGACTTGGGAAAAATGGGCTCACGTGAACTAAACGTTACGATCACGGTCTGGGGTTATTAGCAGCTCGTTGGCTTAAGTTTTGCCAGGGAACGTCAACGTTTTGTTAATCGACATAACTACAGAGATATGGCACCTTTCAGATAGCCTACTACTACTTACAGGATCAGATGCACTAGGCCTACATTCACCATGCTGCGGCGCTGTCGATGCTGAATTCAATTTCAATACCTTCAGTTAATGTTTTTTTAAAATGACGTTACTTGGAATGTTTGTTTTATGTCTTGTAGACTGTCTCTATCCAAACACTTGGATTTGCCAAATACAAAACAACCTGCCCTGTTGAAGTGAGCCATCTGGACCATTTGGTACTAACAGTGAAAAGTGTGCCAGACACCGTCAACTTTTACACCTCAGTCCTTGGCATGGAGGTCATCACTTTCAAGGTATGCATGGTGCTTTGTACATCAAATGCATGATCATAATTAGTTGTAGATTACAATTAATAATTCATCAGAGACAAGTTCACAGATGAATTATTTAATAATGTCAGTAATATTATCACCATATGTACATTATTAACACAGGGATCAGGAAATGTGAATACTTGGTTTGAGAGAATATCCACTAGGTGGCAGGCTTTGATTAGTTGTCGGCTGGTAGCGCCACTCTCAGTCAGTTATGAGGGATCCTCTCACCCACATATTCCTTATCTGCATTTTTCAAGGGAAACCGTAAGGCGCTGGGTTTTGGGCAGCAGAAGTTTAACCTTCACCAGCTGGGTAAGGAGTTTGAGCCCAAAGCCAAGCATCCCACCTCAGGCTCTGCAGACCTGTGCCTCATCACCAAAACCCCTCTGGCTACAGTAGCTGCACATCTGAAGGTCTTTCACCCATCTTAATCTTTTAAGATGGCTGCTTTTTAAAACCATTTGATCTCTAGTCGACTTTGTATGTCACATTTCATTACCGTTTTGGGATTAAGGTGTTACTGAAATGCTCAGTGTCAGTTTCGTCTCTTCTCCTCTACAGGTATGTGGGGTTGAGATTGAGGAGGGTCCAGTGGAGAGGAGTGGAGCTGTGGGGACCATCATCTCTCTTTACTTCAGAGATCCAGACCACAATCTCATCGAAGTGTCAAACTATAACCAGTCAACACGATCTTCTTGACACTTCTTTGGTCTTGTTTGGGAATGCATATAAATATTTCCAAACCACTGCACTAACTATGAAGTTCTTGAGACCAAAGTGACATAACATCAGCTGGCTGCGCGGACACTGTTCCTGAGTTGTTTTGCTGATTAATGGTTACTGTTTTAATTATGCGTAGAAAAGGCTGTTTTAGCACTCATAATTCAGAATAAGAAGTCATCAACTGAAGATTTTAAAGTATGTGATCAAATAAGTACTTAAAAAGATTTTTTTTTAAATTTGTGCAAAGAACTGAACTGAATCATTGATTTTACAACTGAAAATAAAAGTTTCTTGCATGTACCGATTGCTCTGTATTTCTGTTTTTTACGTAACTCTTTAAATGATATTAGCCTTTGCCATTATGTGGCTGTTAAGTTGCAGTATTTCATTTTATGGCAGTTTTTTTTAATATAAGAGAGCCCATTTGAATAAAGAAAATGCTCATTGCAATTGCTCATCAGTTTAACTGAAAAAAAAAAAAGCCAGAAATGTCAGTTAATTGAAGATAAAACTCATAAACATACTTCTAATTTGTACGTCAGAACAGTTAAAAATACCTTCTTCGTACTTATTAAAGTTGTTTTGTACTAGATGCAGAGGCTACATTTTTCACTCATTTACACATAGTACCCATTGAATTTCTCTAATATATACACACTCACTACCCACTTTATTAGGTACACCTTGCTAGTACCAGATTGTACCCCCTTTTGCCTTCAGAACCGCCTTAATTCTTTGTGGCATACTTTCAACAAGCTGTTAGAAACATTCCTCAGAGACATGCCTTTGGTGTGAGAGACTCAGGTTCAAATCCACTTTGACAGACTAATGTGTCCCTGAGCAAGACACTTGTAATAGCAATTGTAAGTCGCTTTGGATAAAAGCTAAATCAATAAATGTAATGTAAGAAACCAGTTTGAGAGCCTCAGTTTCCTGTTCTTAGCTGACAGGAGTGCCACCTGGTGTGGTCTCCTGCTGCTGCAGCCCATCTGCTTCAAGGTTCAATGTTTTTGTGTTCAGAGATGCTATTCTGCATACCTTGGTTGTAACGAGTGGTTATTTGAGTTACTGTTGCCTTGCTGTTGACTGTTGTCATCTTAAACCAGTCTGCCCAATCTCTTCTGACCTCTGACACCAACAAGGCATTTTCATCCACACAGCTGCCGCTCACTGGATATTTTTCTTTTTCGGGCCATTTCCTGTAAACCCTAGAGATGGTTGTGGGTGAAAATCCGAGTAGATCAGCGGTTTCTGAAATACTCAGACCAGCCAGTCAGGCACCAACAACTCCCACGTTCAAAGTCACTTAAACCCTCTTTTTTCCTCATTCTGATGCTCGATTTGAACTTCAGAAAGTTGTCTTGACATACATACATGACTAAATGCATAGTTGCTGCCATTGGCGGATTAGCAATTTGTGTTAGCAAGCAACTGAACAGGTGTACCTATTAAAGTGGCCGGTGAGTGTATATATATGGAGTTTGCATGTGTTACTGTTAGTTATAATAAAATGGAGAGTTTGCTGGAAAGGATTAGCTTTTGCACATCAGTTATCAGTCACTGTATGAACTGAACAGGATGATTGAGCATGTGTTTGTGTAAATATGTGAAATCTGGCTTGTGTGTTCATTAATTCTACAATCTTGAATGTTTCTTTAAACATCCTGCTTCTAGGACACATTGCGTTAAGTGCAGAGACATAGAGAGACACAGTACAAAGACATAGTAATCTCCACATACTTAATCTACTGAGCATGGCCAATCAATGTAGCCCAATAACTAACCCCCACAACCAGGTATTTTCTCAGTACTGACTATTCTCATCTTCAGATCACAGTTTCACCCATTCATAATTTTTCCTGAATGTTGAAATGAGACGCACAATAGAGCTACCTACTCTCACCCACTCATCATCAAAGCACAGTCACACCTTTGTTTGTGATCTGTTCAGTGACAAGGTGAAACCACAGACCTGGTTATTATTTCACTGAAGCCTGTGTGAGATACAGTATACATTATAAATTAGAGGAAGGTGGGATGCCTTTAGTGAGGAGAAGGAAATGGCCATTATTTCCCTGTTTTCTGACTGTAAACCTTAACACTAGGCCTTTTTGGCACGCATCAAAAGCAATCTTTTCAGTCATTGTTGTGTGGAAACTCCATCTTTAGACATCTGAAGTTGCGTTACTATTGTGTCATCTCCTCTGTTGTTGGTGGAGACAATATGAAAACTGTACACCTGTAATTCATCCTAACCCTAATCAATTGTGGTTGAATTTCCTCTTTTGTTGTTGAGTTTGCCCAAATACAGAAGTCTCCAGGATAGGAAACACTATCACAGCTAAGGGGATATTTTTAACTGCTCAGGGCCTTTTGTCATTGTCGCTATATTTACCATGGGAAAAAAACACAACAATAAAACACAACAATACAGCAAGTGCACACAAGAAAACTTTCCCAGTTATCAAACATATTATTGGTGTATGTAATTATGTTATCAGTCCTCATAATTATTCCTATATAAACATTACTTTTTCCCATTGCCTGGCTACCACATCTGAGTTAGTGAATAACTCCGAATGGAAGTCTACATAGTAGATAATGTTGATTTATCAGAGATCTGACTGGGAGATCCTGTATTAATGAATCATCAGATAATGATTACTGGTAGTTGTTCCTGGTTAACTCTTAACCAGCTGCTGAGCAGCACAAAGCAATTATAACAGTTAAGCTATTTAATCATTAATGACTTTTTTGTGGCCCCTCAAGTAAAGTGACACATCATACTACTACTACTTACTAAGTAATCTCTAATTACAAAATTATTATGAGAAGTAGCTACAGAGTTTAAATTCACCAGTAAAAACTCAATGCAATACATAGATATTAGTTCCTCACTCGTTCCTTTGTAACACAATTTTGTATACTGTGCTGTGTTACCAAATTTTAGTCCCTGTGGTGTATGTATTGCTTCTTTACATTATTTCCTCATCCTTCCTTGTGTTTTATGTTTAGGACAGCTCATCGTTACATTATGTTACATTCATCTGACCTGTTTTGTCTATTGAAAGCATTTTATTGCAGTGTTTTTCAGTGTCAATCTTTCCTTACTGTTGTGTATGTTTCTATTTCCATGCTGTACAGTGACAACACTTCCTTATCCTCCAATGTGTCTCTATAACCTATTCCTTATTTTTTGTTAGTTGCAACAACATCAGTCAGTGATGGCATTATTCCCTTTGATCCCCTTTGATTAACCTCCCATCTCTCAGCTGTATAAGGAACAAAACTTGGGCCTAAATGTTTTCTGTACGCATTTGCTCTTAAGCTCTCTGCACTGGTAATTCAGAACACATGTAGGACATACAGTAGTTGTAACCTAATCTGTGGACCCTTGTGGAAAATTTTGTTGTCTCACCAAGAAAGTAAAAAAGTGACCAATGAGTCCCAAATAGTCTATAGTCTAAATGACTTTAAGATAACTCTAGAAGTTTAGTCTCACTCATCTGTTGTGCTAGCTGCAATCAGTGTTGCTTTATGGAAGAACACTGAGCACAAAATACTAACCACAGGACAATCTCTACTTGTGTCTACTGTGAACACTAAGAACTTTGTGCTGACCTTTTTTTGTTCGTCTAAAAGTTGTGGACACAGTTGATCTATTTCTGTTTTTATACAAAACCTACCTTTTTCCAACAGAGCACAATAGTTGGTAATGTTAAGTTAAATATTTCTGGTAAAAACACAATGTCCCACATTGTTTGATGTACGCACAGTACTTGCACGATGTTATACAGTTAGTTGAATATCATCTGCCGATACGCAGCTCCACCAACGAAGAAGCTCTTTTACCCTGGTGACCATAATTGTGGGTCCATCAATTCAAAGTTTAATTACAGAGAATACTGTATAAAATAATGCACAAGATGAGACCAAAGTTGACGTCAAACAGAGCAGGTTCTACAGTTTTATTATGAAACTAGTAGGGCTACCTTATTACTTATTCTTTTGGAAATACCCACAACTCCTTTTAATACATAATATTTCTTTATTCTTTAGTTCATTATTAAACTTTCTTAACACTTTGCCAAGACAGCATTTCTTTGTGGATTTGACACAGTTCTCCCAAGACAAGGTGAAGAATTGTTGGTTTCCCTGTGAGACATTCTGTACTGAGCTGGGCAGTGGCGTGAAACAAAGCCCCCGTGTCAACAAGACAGGCGCCCATTTCCTCCTGTGCAGACTTATTGCCACACATTCACTCAAGGACCGGCCGGAATGAGGAAAACAGCTCTTTTCACATTTAAGAAGCTTGGTGCCTTATTTTTCTTTGCACTCCAAATGTACACACGAAAGGAAAGCACTTTTGTGGTTGCTCATTGACTTTTCTTACTCTGTAAATTGCCTGCTTCTTTCAGTTGCAGACACAAGAATGTTTGTCCTACTTTTAAAATGTTGGCAGTGATTAATCTAATGACGGAGTAATGTTCTGCACTTTGTGACCTCAGTAATCACTAATTTTCTCTATAGAATCCTTTATCCTAGGGAAACAATAGTATGTTGTATTTTCTCTTTCTCTTTGGTTTGTTTTCATTCTGAATGTGTGTTAAAACAAGTGTGGTTAAGTACTCACAGGAAGACATGTGGGTCTGGGCCAAAGTGAACACATTTAAATTTTCTCAAACCATTTTCTTCTGTTATCAATTTAATGTCTCAGACTGTGTTTTTGAGTAGTTTTATTCAAACAAAAACACACAACAACAGAAATGCTACATTTGTGTATTGAATATCAAAGAATAAATGCTATTGCGTGCAAATGTTTACAAGCATCAGGCATTTACATTGTTTAAATGAACATTTATTTGATCCATTATTTGGCACAAGAAACACAGTACAGTACTTATATGTATAATGTCTGATATTATGAAGTATTCAGTACATAAATCTTCCCTTTTGCCTTTGCATCATATTTTACAAGTCATATTGATTTCCTAATGATGTAAAACAAAATTAAATAATACAATAAATACATTAGATACATCTGTTCTGACATGGCTCAATAGATATTTCGGTATTTGTCAGTACTGGGTAAAGAGACACGTATATGGAAACAGTTGTAGTGTACAGTGTTGCCTAGCTGCTTTTCATGTAACACTTTTACAAAGGGCATTGATTTGGAAAATTTTAAGTACATTTTACTGTAAATATTTAGGTAAACAGTCTTTTAATATACTTCTGTTTTGCTATTATTATGTATGTAATGTTGAGTGTTCATTGCAGCTGTGAGAGAAGGAACCCGCAGTCCTCAAGTCTGTCCAGCTCTTCCACCACATCAATCAGCCTCTCAACCTTCTCAGAGGAAAGCACCGCCCCTGCATTGTTTCTGAACTTCTTCCTCAGGCTCTCATTCGATAGCGGGTTGCGCCAGTGACCATAGAAAGTGTCACAGCGTCCCTTCAGAATGTCTCCCCCGACAAGTGACACCTGGATTTCGCCGTACATGCTGTTGAAATTAGCCGGGTTGTCCTGGGGATGCTCCACTTGAACACAGCTCAGCAGAGCGAGCAGGTCAGGGCGCCTCATGGCAGCGGGTGTGAAGGACTGCACAGTCACCTCGCCATCCAGGAGAGCACTGCAAGCATTGAACTGGAAGGAGTGGCGTGCCTCGTGCTCCGAGTCAGGGAAAGGCCTGTTGATGTACTTCGATTTGGGGACCCTCAGCAGGATGTCCTGAACTTGAGCTGGGGAGACAGTGCCAGGGCCAAGCCCAACAAGAAGTTTATGGACCGAGGCTGCAGCATCTGCCACCCAGTGCATCCCCAGATGGGCGGGGAAGCGCTTGAAGGCTATGTCTTGCTCCTCTAGCAGGAACATATGGTTATCATCATTGGGTGATTCTAAAGGCTGCGGCACATAGTCTTCATAAAAAGCACTGAATCCAGCCACCCCAGGAACAGCATCCAGGACCAGAGGACTCGCCTCTAGGCCTCGGGAGGCCAGTAGAGCAGCCTCCAGCCCTAAGCGTGAGGCATTACCAATGTGGAGGGGTTTAGATTGAGTGGCAGCATTAGCCATAGGGGCTCCAGATAGAGAAGCAGCTATAGCCAAGGCATGACTGCACTGGGTGTGATCCAAGGACAAGAGGCGAGCACAGGCGGCTGCACTTCCCATGGTCCCCACCACACTGGGAGGGTGAAACCTGGTGATAAGACACAAAGAAGGAGACAGACAGAAAGACTTGTCAGGTGTTTTGGAATTATTTACCCTAAATGAGCATATCATATGTGTGCTATCATCATTATGGTAATTGCAGAGCTCCTGTGTGTCTCTTTGTACAAACAGCTACTCTTTTCTCAAGACTCTCCACATTCTTACAGACACAGCTTATTTCTGGGGTGTTAAAATAATTTTTTTAGTTTTGTTTATTTTTTTTAGTAATTTCAGTGTTTGATAAACAAGCTAATAATGTGGTGAGTAATTTGACTTTGTGTAAACACTCCACAAATGGAATCTGGTCTTTCAGTATCCTTCACATTGCTAATTGTGCTAACGCTACCCACAGAGCCTCTGCTGTCCCCGAGATGAACATAATAACACTCCTTTCACAGCTCATTGACACCACTAAGAGACGGCACATTATGCTGCACCTGCGTCCTTGTGAACCACTCTGCAGAGATCAGCAAGAGTCAAATATGGATCTCTTTAGACTCATGTGGATACTTGTTCTCCGTGTAGAATACAAATAAACACCCTTTAACAAGGATCTAGCTTTACATCAGTAAAGTGATCACTTAGGGAGACCAAGTAAAGTGCAAACCTACTGCAATGTTGTTAGCCTTTAAATTGCAGTATGCGTCCAATTTGACTGGTGCTCTGAGGAGCTCACCTCTTGGGGATGTTGTGGGCCTCATTAGAGAACCTCATCAGTCGGCCCTGGATCTCAATGCCGACGTTAAATGCCAGCAGGAGGTCCAGGCCAGTAGGTTTGCTGTTAGCAGGCATCACGTCACTGAGTGCTAACACAGCAGGAAGGACTGCTCCTGAGGGATGAGTGGCAGGGTGCCATGTATCATCAAAGTCCATGGAGTGAGTCTGCAGCAAAAAAACAACAAACAACACATTTTTAACAATCAAATGGTTGTGAATAATAGCAAAAAGTATTATGAGAGTACCATAATATTTAAAGCAATTAGATGATTTTTGATACAATTTGCCAAGAACATGACTTTAGAGTGCTTTGTGAAATAACACAGTAGCTAGCTGTACACTATTTTTATATTTAGCTATAATTTAGCCCTTTACACATATCTCCTTTCTCTGTGTATTGGAAAATGCATTTCATTGCCATAACAGGCTTAAACCGCTGGAGGCAGGCTGCAGAAATTAGTTTTACAACCTGATGACTTCTTTAAAAATGAAGGCCATGTCTGCAGAGGGTCAATGTTTATTCAATTCAGTATTTTCATCCACCCTTCTTGCGGTTGGCTGCCCAGACGGTACCACAGCTGAGTATAATATAGCTGTTGTTCGGTTTTGGTAATGGGTTTAGTGCGTCTGAAATTGTGTGGTGTACTGTGGACAATGGTGACCCATCTGTATTTATACTCACTGCTACTCCATTGACAAAAGCTGCCAGTGCCGGGGAGAGCCTTGTGCCTTTGCGTCCGTAAACAGAGCTGATGTCATCAGGAGCATACATGTGCTGAAAGGAAAAAGACGAAGACAGGTAAACACAGGGTGTTGTCACAAGGACATATTTATATCAACATAGTATAGTATAGTATAGTCACAGATTGTGTCATCACATATAACACATATACATATAAAGCGAATTTCACTTTAAAAAGCTCTCGCATATCAAAATCAGATATCAAGATATCAAGCTGAATATACTTCTTTGTAAGTCATATGTGAAACACAGAAATTTGGAGGAAAAGTTCCTCAGTCAATAAAAAACCCTGCCTGTTCCTACGTTTTATGACACAGTTCAACATAATCATAACCTGTGATTTTTTTAACTCATCTGTCCACACACAGCTATTGCACTGACTTACGACTATGGTTTGCATAAGGTCAAGCAAGTGCTTTCATCTGTTACATTGCCTCATATAAAAAAAGACCTTCTTTCCCCTGTGCCCACCTGGCTGTGCTGCAGGGCCAGTTCAAACACATCTGTTGTGCTGCCAATCAGACCAACTCCAATGCTGTCCAACACCATCCTTTTGCTGCGGTGGAGCGCCATGGAGGACAAATGCTGGGGCTTTACTTCACTGATGAACTTCCCATAGCTGGCTGTGACTGTGTCCTCAGGGGCCGGGCGCTTCAAGACTGCAGGGGGAAAGAGCAAGGAATGTAAAAAGAAGGAAAGAGGTCAGCAGAAAGAACAGGGGAAATGTTGGAAGAATGCTATTACATCTTCTTAGGTTGGAAAAGAACACTGAGTGTGCCAGAAGTTACCTTTACCTTCCACCGCAGACTTATGCAGCCCTCTAACAGCCCATACTGGTCTAATGGTTTTCTGCAGGACATAGAGTGCAGAATGTCTTTATTGACACATGTAAACCGCTAAGTGTGACATTTATTTATTTTTTTGACATCTCATATCCATTACAGGCTTTGGTTATGCACAGTGATCTTTGACAGACTCAGATCTAATTAAATCAGCCTTTTGGTGGACATTCACATCACTATAATGAATATTACTCAGCTTGTCTGCCTCTTTTGAAAGAGCCATTGTGCTGTTGAGGTGTTGCTTTAACAGGTGTGGTACAGTATGTATAATCTGCTACACTAGATTGGATAAAGTTAAGAAAGCAAGCTACTTGAGTCACTCAAGCATGAAAAATATTTATTACAGTGTGGGGTACATATTCATCTAACAGAAATAGACCTGCAAAAATATCTTCAAATCTTTACCTTCAATGTGGAGATCATGGCTTGAGTCTGCTGTATTCTCTCGCTATGCTCTTCTTTTTTTCTCTTGATGCAGTGGGTTTGCAGTCAACAGGTTGTGAAGGATGTTGATGCTTTTGAGGTTGAGAGGGCACCTGCCTTATATAGTCCAGGACTCACCTGACTGGCCTGGGAGGAACAGGGAAGCACTGTCATATCCATAGCATATCAGATTAAGTGGAGGAATTTCCATCATCGTCATTACCAGCATCTCCATCCTCAGAAAAGGGAGGAGAAACAATTGGTAGTTTATTGTCCAAAGTGAGGGGCAGTGATGTCACCTCTCAGGTTGCTGACTGTAGGATAGTGTGGGGGAAATTTTCATGAACTCCTCCTACACCTACAACTCAAGCCTTATTTATGACAAACTTTCTTTCCTGCTTCAGATTCAGAACAACTCAACAGTTCCTCTGTCTGAGCGTCTTACCAGGTATGACTTTATTTTCACTTGCTTTATTACTGGTTAACACAAAGACTTTATTATGTTCCATTTAAAAGGCTGCATTATAAATTCATGGTGATAACATGCTTTTCACATACTCACTTGTCAGGACAAAAAAATACTACAATGTAAAGTTCTTTATGAGATTAAGAAAGAATACCAAAATACAACTCTGAAAATATGTAACTGACAAAATCACAAACATTTCCTGTGTTTTGGTAGATATCACTAAATATCAGTCTGTTAGTTATGGGTAAAATAATTATTTCCTTATGTGGACACCTGCTGTTTTTTTTTTTGTCATTTGAGTAGGAATGCTAAAAATAAACACTCTGGTGTGTCTCTTGCTGCTCTCACACAACATCAGTAGAGCAGCCTCTTTTGATGGGCAGGGCCAAAGACTCTCAGGTTTCAGAAAGGAGGTTTAGAGAGTAGAACTTTCCAATTTGTCTCTGTCTATATCTTTTAATAGAATCCAACCGCAAACAACGGATGATGAATTTCATTCATATTTTGGCAACACAGTGATGGCCTACTAATAATTCTATTCCAGTTTTATACATTTTCACCATAATTTGTATTATGAGTGATTTGACATTGCAAATTATACTTAATTAATAGAAAATGTACAGATTATATACATTTATGGATATGTTGTCTGAGTCATTTGTTTCATTGTTTCAGTGAAACTACAGTTCGACAACAAAGACACTATGTCATCATCACATGGGTTTCCAGCCAGTTTCTATGGTGAACCAGGAGTTTTAGGCATGTTATCTAATGGGATCAGTGCATTCCTTGTACTTCTACAGAACTTCAATACAGCACACACGGGCAATGCGCCAGTAGGAGTGGAGAACATACTTGCAGGTAAAAAAAATTCAAAATCTGGTAGAATTATATAATCAAATGTATTGTAAATAATTTTAGTAATTTCAGTTCCATATATTTTATAGGTGTTCATCTTATCCTGATTGGTGGTATATGCCAACTGGTGGCCGGGCTGCTTTCATTTAGAAAATACGATCATCTGAGTGGCACTGCCTTCATTGGGTATGCTGCTCTTTGGGGTAGTTATGGTGCCACCCGAATCTATTTTGGTGCCTTAGCTGAAACTCCTACAACAACATCTATAACACATCAAATGATGAGTAATTTGTCTCTGTCCACTGACACGATGAGCAACATATCTTTGAATGCCACCACAGAGTCCATAAAAGAGACAGCCATCGCTGGTCTGGTCCCCTATATTCTTCTGTCCTTTCTCCTAGCCTTCTGCTCTGCCACAGTCAACTACATCATGCCTTTTGTCTTTGGGGCCATCACAGCCACTTTAATTTTTGAAGCAGTAGGTCTGGTAGCAAGCTCCTGGGCTCTCGTGGTCTCTGGTGTTCTGGAATTGCTCATTCTGATTTTTGCCATCTATGGTTCAGCTGCCCTTCTTATCAAAGGTCTGACTCAACGTCTGGTCCTCAAAGGCTTTGGTACCCCCCTCTTCAATGTTCTCCTGCTAGGGACCACCAACTCTGCAAGCGCCCAGAGCATTGGCCAAGAGAAGAAGAAAAACACAAAATACGCAGAGCCCATGGCTTTGGGTTTCTTCTGTGACACTGTTGCCCCCTTCATATTTGCTTTCTACAGCTTTGGGTACATAAAGTCATTTGGCGTAGGAGCTGCATGGGTCTCAATCATCACAGTCGCCCAGCTCTTCTCCAGCTACTACGCGCATCTTCGTCAAGATTGCTACCACACAACTAAGTTTGGTCTTCATGCCACATATTGGCTGATCAAGGCTTGGGATGAGTTTGTGGCATCTGATCTGGTTGTGGAAGGCAGTAAAGTGGTGTCAGGGAGGGAAGAAATGGTGGGAAATTGGTTCTTTGTGATGGCAGGTTTGGTGCTCTGCGTGGGAAGCCTGAACACAGACGTCCTGGAACTGATCCACAACATGCTGTTTGTCCTGCTCACAGTCTCAACAATCCCCCAGATCCCTCTCCAGGGATACTACATCTTCTTTGGTGTAGCTTGTTCTCTGTTCACTGCAACCTCCCTATACGGTACCTTTGCACGTCTTATCAACACCATAGCAGAGAAGTCTCTAATCCCTGTAGGACCACAGCCCATCTCCACTGACCAGTTGAAGAAGGCTTTGAAATGCTGCAGGGCCAGGCAGGGAGAGCAGGGGGCTCTGCCACAAACTGACCAGGCTTCAGATGCCTTGTTCTACCTTTCAAATGGGGTTGCAGCTCTCTCCGCTCTTCATGAAAGTTTATCCAGTATGAATCCTGCCTTCCTTCATCTGACTGTCCCTTGGGTCCTCATCTCTGGAGCCATCATCCAGACCTATGTCAGTCGGCTGCAAGTCACAGGAGGTGGCCGTTTTGGGTCAGTCATCTCATCCATCTATGTAGCAGTATGGGCAACCTGGACCTGGTTTAGGTTTGCAGGTATGTCAATGCAAACATGTTTAAATGGAGAAATTGTTCTTACTGAAAAACACAACATTTTGATCCCAAGTTGTTGTTTTTTTCTAGGTAACCTCCTTCAGCTTCCCACAGAAGCAGCCTACGGTTTTGCAGCAGGCGCCATTGCTCTCCTTGTCATTAATGCATTTCTTATGCTAATAGGTAAGGTTAATGATGGTTATTTAAAAGAAAATAATGAATTAGTTTGTTTCTTTTTGCTCTTGTTTTCATTCTTCCATTGTTTATGCCAGCTGCCTATAGGAACCTGGTTTTGCTGTTTCTAACAGTAGTCATGGAGGTTGTTCTGGTCTGTTTCCTCCTTTCCACTCTGCGTCGACTTCCATATGGATTAGAAAGTGAGTATAGATGAAGCCTCATTCTGAACATGTTTTTAAATCTATAAATAGGTTTAAATTAAAATAGTCATCTCTGTAAAAGAAATCCATCTAATTATTGAAACATATTCTTTACAGTGGCCATGCTTGCACTACTTTCAACAATTTGCATATATGGAGCTCTGGCTTCACTGGTGAACTGCATCTTCTCACAGAGACTGCTGCCTATGGGCTCTCCCTTAATAAAGGTAACTAATTAAGAGACTCCTTTTTTAATCCTTTGCCAGTTCTTTAGTGGTCTGTTAAATTCTATCCTGTTCATTTTATGAAAATGTGGCTTGTCTCAGGAGGAAGTGAAGCAGGAGTCTGCTCCAGAGCTACCCTGTCCTGTGGCCAATTCGCGACTCACCAGTGGTCTCTTGAAGATTGCTCGCCTTCTGGAGGAAGGCGGAGTATGTGGTATTCCCACAGACACCGTGTATGCCCTGGCTGCCTCGTGCAAGAATCCTCAAGCTATAGAGAAAATCTACAACATCAAAGTAAGAATGAAAGGCTGGTAGTTGATGTCATTTTGAAGTGTATATGACACAGATCATGCTCATGAACCTGTTTTATGTTACCTCATTCAGGACAGACCAGCACAGAAACCCATCTGTATTTGCATCTCTAATGTTGAGCAGCTGGTGGCAGCCAAGCCTCCCTTCAGTCCTTTGCTCTGGGAGTTTATGAGGAATGTGTATCCAGGAGGCATCAGCTGCATTGTCAGCAAAGGAGACTGGCTGTTCAAACTAGGTAAACTGTTAATAGCCGTTCAAATGTTGTTTCACTGGATTCAATTTACAACTAATTCAGCCTGTCTTAAATAAATATCAATGATCAGTATCAGTAACTTGTCTTGTGTAGGAGTGGGACCAGCTTATGACCGTGTTGGTACCAAAGACAGCATCATGATCCGCGTCCCTGACCACACTGTGACCGGCCACCTTTGTGACATCACTGGACCCCTTGCTATTACCTCAGCTAATCCCAGCGGAGAGCCAGACAGCACCCACCACAGCATGGTCATCAAGTAAGTGTCTCTTCACAGAACTCCTTCCATACTCAAGTCCTCATTTTTCCTGTTATTCCTCCGACCCACTCCATGCCATGTCATGCTTCAGTTTAGACATTTATAAACTTCTTGTAATGTAGCAGAATGATCCGACAATATTAAATGTCCTTTTATAGCAGATTAATCTCAGTGTGTCTTGTGAAGCAGAGTAACAAAGTCATTTATTGTCTATTACAATATATTCCTAATGGATGCCAACTAAATGCACAATCACTCTGTTTTGACACAGTCGACTGGGAAACAAGATCCAAGGCATGCTGTGTGACGGGAACTCAAATGAAGTTGTTGCTTCTACCGTGGTCAACTGCTTGAAGATTGATGAAGGTAAAAGGCAAAAATATTCCCACTACATTCTCTCTTTTTTGTGTGTTTTAACAGGCACTTTCAAACTCAAGCCTATCTTTTTCTTTCCACAGGTACCATCACCATTGTGAGGGAAGGGTGTGTCCCTGCAGTGAAAGTCCGACAGATCTTTGACAGAGTGAAAAACACTATGGTGTGATTGTCTCATACCTCATTTCTTTACTTCAGAGTGCCTCTTCATGCCGGGTTCCCTCCAAGATCGGATTCTTCAGCTCCCCCATTTCCATTTGACAATCTCAGGGACACTTTTCGAACAATGTGAGAAAAACTGAAGTTGATGATACACGGGAAACTTTTTGAGCAATGTTGCTGGGCAATGTTGCTGGTGGCAAGTCTGACTATGTTTTGAACTGATAGTGGCGGGGCGGGTG